AAAATGACTGTTCCTGGCTGAGAGGAGTCCACAGCAGTGCCAGCTTGGCAGCCCTGGGCTCCATCCAGCTCCGCGCCAGGTAGGTATCAGAAACTCTGTACCAGGTGCCTCAAACAGGAATTCATCCTCCTCATCCATAATTGGTCTGAGGAGCCCAGAAAACTAATTAGAGTGTGCATGTGTATGTGTCCAGGTACAGGGGCACTCTGTGAAAGGTTTAACTGCATGTCTGACCTGTGGGGCGAGGCCAGTCTCTTCTCACAGGTAACAAGACATGGGACAAGGGGAAAGAAATTGTGTCAGGGGTGGTTTAGGTTGGATATTGGAAAAATTTCTTCATCAAAAGAGTTGTCCAGCCCTGGCACAGCTCCACAGGGCAGTGGTGGAGTCACATCCCTGGAGGGATTTAAAAGCTGTGTGAATGTGGCACGTGGGGACATCGTTAGCGGTGACCTGGCAGTGCTGGGGGAGCGATTGGACTCGATGGTCTTAGAGGGCTTTTCCAACCCAAATAATTCTGTGATTCCATGAACAAACCTGACAGCAAGGCAAGGTCTGAGCTGTCGGCACACCACCTCCCTCCTGGGAACGATCTAAAAATCCTTCCTCCATTCTCTAACTGGTTTTCAGGGTTCATATCGTGTGTAGCCCTGACACCATCCCACCCATCCCCTCCCACCCTCTACCTTCCCAGGACGGGGTCACCCTGTGTCCTCACCTGCTTGGAGACCTTGAGCCATGTTTTCTTGAGGCGGAAGATGGCACTGCGGTTGAGGGAGGAAGTGATCTCCAGGACGGCGTTGTAGTTGTGCAGGCAGCGGCAGATGTCTGCCACCGCCACCCACTTCTCGATGGCGCTCACCCGCGCGTTGATCTCCTCGTTACGGATGATCTCCGACGCTATCAAGTTGCTGACCTTGGGGAGACACCGGGCCCAGCCCCAGCCTTAGGATGGTTTTGGACACCGCTCTGTACCCGAGGCAGGTAACATCCGTATGGGCAGGCAAATTTCACACATCCCAGGCCCTGGGGCAGGTGGGCTGTGCTGCCTCCCCTCTGCTCATGCCCCTGTCCCCCCGATGCTGAGCTTACATCATTAAAGTGTTTTGTGTTCTTCATTATGTACGGAGTCCTCTCGTTCTTCTCCAGCTTCATCCAGCCTTGCCCGAAGAACTCTCTGCAAATGACAGGTCAACTTTTATTTCGCATTTTTCTGGAATGCCCAAACCGTGCAAGCTCCACCACACCCTTGAGGGATGGAGATCCCAGAGTCTTTTATCCCCACACTGTCAGAAAGGGACCACGTCTGTGCATGAAATTGCGATGGATATGGGAGGCTCTTCCCGAGTCAGTTTCCCAGGAACGTCACTACTGAAGCCACAGGGTCAGGCCTCAGATCGAGGGCTGAAGTCCCAAATAGACATTTTTCCATGGGATAGTAACCAGAGCAGCCCTTCCTGAACCACAGAGATCACTCACTCATAGGGAATCTTCTTGAAGACCAGGTGATCCAGCAGCGTCAGCTGTTCCGCAATCTCCAGGGCTGAGTGGTTTTCAAAGGGTTCTGCTTTGACCCCTTCAGCCTGTGGAACGGGAGAGACAGGGCTCACCGAGTGAGGGCAGGGTGAGAACTTCCACACGTCATGCACAGAAACCCAAAGCTGAGGTCAGACACTCCACAACAGCCCAGCACAAGGCAACAGCCCATTGCACAATCCCTCCTGGCCGCAGGCAACGGGTTGTGAAAGCTCCAGGGAACAAACACCAGCTGAGCTCCTGGAGAGGCTGCAGGGGGCACACGGGGAGTGCAGGCTGTACTGCAACCCCTGCCAGAGCCCAGAGTGGGCAAGTGGTACCGGTGGCACTAAGAGCACCCTACACAGCGCAGGAGGGCTCTGGGCATCCCCAAGTCATGGGTCAGCACAACACACACACAGCTCACAAGGAGGGGGTCGAGGAACCTACAGCCCCCATCGCTCCAACGTGCACCCCAAAACCCAGGGCCCCCTCGTGTTCCCACTGCCTCTTTGGCCACAGGTCACTGCTGCACAGCTTGAGGGGCAGAGCAAAACCCTCCAGGTTTGTTTGTCTTCTCTTCAAATGAAGTTTCCACCACCAGCAGTTACAGCCAACAGCTCAAACAAACCCCGGGAGGGATCAACCCCCCTCAGAAGCCACTGGCAGAGCCAGGGGACAGAATCTTGGCTGCTTCAGGTGCACCCAGCTGGTTTCAAGTGGCTCTTGGGTTTCTTTGGGAGCAGACTTTGTTTTGTCTTCAATGCAAGGAGGCAGAAAGCACTTTGCAGCCACTTTGAGGATTTTTAATCCATGGCACATTCCCAGGGCTAGGACCCCAGGAGAGCAGTACTGATGCTGCCTGAGCCAGTACTCATCACTTGGAACTGGAGCAGGTATGGGGACACAGAAGGAACCTCTGGGGCTTTCCTGTGTCCCTCGAGCAGGCACTGGCAGAGCAGGCAGGTGTCTCTGTGCTCTCTCCAGCCATCCTGCCAGCAGCACAGGAGGACTAACGTGCCAGCGGGCTGGTTAGTGATGCCTCTGCTTGTAACAGATCCAGCTGTG